CTTGCCTTCGTCACCCTGAAATAAACTTACAATATTCCACCCATCCACGTCACCTCCAGCGCAACTACCTTCGTCGTTTACACTGCCCAAGCTAGTACCATCAACCGAACAGTCCTCTGAGTCTTCATCACCTTCACTGCACTGCGCCCAGCCTTCATCCTTATCTTCTTTCTCTTCAGGTCTTCCCTTAACATAACTTGGCTTCGGCTTCTCTGAGGAGCGCCGCAGGGGGCTAAACTCCTTCAGCCTTCGTCGGGAAGCCCACTGCAAGTCGAGCAACTTCTCTGTTTTTCGGCGCTGTGCGCGTTCCCCCCCTTGTCTCGCGACTAGGGACGATGATAGACCATTAGCATCGTCTATCTTAGTCGTGTCCCCAGTCAYGTGAGTTACTAAAGGCTCACRYGCCTTCTTAAACCACTGGATCGGGCCCGCTGACCCAAATGGGCCTTTAATCGCACCCAAGACTTTTCGAATGGGCTTTGGCTCTGGCCCATTTTTAAGCCACTRCGACCTCACGTGACTTTTAAAAGAGTCACATGCACTCGGTTTGGTTTTATCCGGTCTAGATCCAGTTCTTCCTTGGACCGGCTCCTTTTCCTTGTTCAAACAGGTCAAGTTGGTGCCGGTTACAACCTGTGCAAAGGACCTGCCACCCTCCAGGCTGTTCACTACTCCCACACGCATAAAACCCACCCCCTGAGTGCTACCCTTTTGTTTCCCTGAGCTTAGATAGCTTACAACAATCTTTGACCTCTCAGACCACCTTGTCCACAGCATTGTGAGCAAGATGATGATCATGGAAGAGCTTCATGCAAGCTGGGCCACCCAACTTGGTGCATTGTCTTCCACAATGTTGAGCACATGAGACTGCAGACCTTGCATTCTAGTTGACAGAGAAGCTTTTTGTTCTCACTGAGAGCAATGAGAGGGCCGGGATTATGCCAGGGATGCCACCAGTAAGTGGCAGGAGAACTTTTCTCAGGGAAGGCAAAGTAGTGGGCGCTTAGGCTATGGACTTGGCGGGAGACCATCTTCTTCCACTCAGGCTTCTGGTGCAGTGTTTTTGAAGGATAGAGTAGGTCAGTCACTACTATTCTTTTGGCTACCAGAGCATACATCATCAAGATGCATATGGAGGGGTTGGTAGATCTTGCCAGACTGGTACAGCAGGAAGGGGATTGCAAATGGACACATCAGCCCACATGGTCAGTCTCAACAGGGTGGCTTGTGCATAGTGAGAAACAAATAAGAGAAGAAAATGATCCAAGAATTAAGAAAAGTTTAATGCAGTTTTGTTTTCTGCAGGTTCTTTCAAGTTTGCTTCCAGAGAAGAGCTTTAAGATGTTAAACATATATTGATTCTAAAAATATAAGAGGACTATGTTAGATAAAAATGGTAGTGATATAAATAGAGGAGAAATATAACTGTCCAAGGTTTTCGCCCTTTTCCATAGTTACTTTAACTTTGGCATGTTCATCTCCACTTCCATTGATCTGTTTGTTCAAGCTAAGAACATGGGTAAAAGAAGCATTAGCAAACCTGCCCATTATCAATGAGGGAAACCAAACAGTATTTTTTGTAAGCTTCAATAGCTATAGCATTTATAGTTGACATTGGTGCAGTAACAACCTATATCAAAAAAAAAAAATGTGTAATTCAATTCATTAAATTAAGTCAACTGGTCATGAGAGCTAGCAAAAAGTATAGTAAGCCAATTTGACTGGAAATCCTTTACATACATTGCGCAGAAGCTCCCTGGCCTTGCAGAAGTGCTTTTGTCCTATGCATATCATCCCCCTATCATTATATCAAATATAAAATACCGTTAGCTGCAACAGTTATCGGGTAAAGCTCCACAAAAGCCTGCAGTCATAGGTAAAACAGTGAAATAAAAAAAAAAAAAAATTGAGAAAAGGTAAGGTAATTTCATTAAAGATGATATAAAAGTACAAGAGGATCCCCCCCTCCCCCTTCCATTGAAATTCCTTTTTCCCCTCCATTTTGCTAGTAAGAACTAAGAAGGTGCTAAAATCAGCTGAAAATCACCATGTGGGAAGAAGCTTGAGCCATTGAGATATGGCCACAAGAGTATCATAATGCTACATCCAATCTGGTTTTTCATCTCCACTTCCAAAATCTGAACTTGTCATGACTTACATGTTTAGATCAGTGATTGTTGTTTAATCAGTTTGCTAATTGCTTTGGGTTCGCAATTGTTGTATGCTTAATTAAATATTTATCTCATTACAATAGTGTTTGGGATATTGATATCAATATATTTAAAATGACATTCTCCTAAAGATATGAAGATTTTCTATGTTTTAGCATGAAATTTATTGCTATGTAGAAAATATAAGCATAAGATCTAGAATCTAATTTAATTTAAAAAAAAAAAAATTGCCTAAGCCCTGTTGCCTAGCTTTGTCTTGACACCTTGACATTTTGACAACTATGCCTTGAGCCTTTCCTTGAGGGGCTCAAGTTGTAAGTCTCGTATGCCTTATGAAACACTGATACAGCATATAAAACTATTTACATGACAGAGATGCAAAAAATAATGATGTTCCAGTTGTACAGAAAATGGTTGGAAATCATTGAAAAAGAGAGGGTTAAGAGTATATGAACTATTCTACTTCCCCTATATTACCAGAAGCCAAAAACCTTTATCCTTACAAAAATCTTCCCATTTGTATTCCTCTAAATGCACCAATATATTCCAAAAGACTCATGACTCCAAAACATATTTCCTTTCTTTCTAAAGCCCCTAGCAGGCTAAACAACAGTGAGAGATGAGTGGATGCATGCTAACTATATCCATTTCCACCCACATAGCTTGATGAAGTGCCACTAAACCTCACAAGGAAACAGGAAATGTAAAGAGAAAGGGTGCAACAGATTCTTTCGGAGTGTCACAAAGAGAACATATTTGGGACATTTCCCCCACAGACAGATGCTTTTCAAGAAACCCAACAAAGGTTCTCTGATTTTCTTTATTTGATCAGTAACAAAATTAGAATGTATTTATTCATAAATATAGAAAGAATTCCTGGTCCAAGGAATGAACTGGAGGAGAAAAATACACAATAGAAACCTAGCTAAAACATGATAAAAAAGGGATACATACGACCCACCTTATAACATAATCCCCATGCTTGGAGCCCACCACCCCCATAGATATACAGGGAATCCACGATGCCAGTGGCTCATATTGGGAGTCGGAACAAACATGAATGAGCTGCTCCAGGTGGACGCCAAAGCCTTTGCTTCTCCGATATGGTGTCTAAGGAGTCAGGGACTCAAAATTCCTGGACAGGCATTCAATCACTGTCACAAAGTCCCACTGAAACCATATAGCATTCCAAAGAAAATCCCACGCCTGGAGCCCACCACCCTCACAACATCATAACAGGGAATCCAACTATGTCATTGGCTTTATATTGGGAGTTGGTACAGACATGAATGAGCTGTTCAAGGTGGACACCAAAGCCTTTGCTTCTCTAATAATGGTGTCTAAGGAGCCAGGGACTTCAGAATTTCTGGACAGTGATGTGGACGTTTTTACTGGGAAGACATATCACAGCCGGCAGCAACAGTAAAGGGAGCAAGATTTGTTGATTCTCATCTTATCTAATTCTAGCCAGATACAGTTCTTATCTTATCAGTTCAGTAGGATAGATTAAGGGAGTCTTATCTTATCTTATCAGTTCAG